ATTTAATATATGACAGTCTGAAATTTTAAATGAGCATTTCCAACTTCAATCCCAACATCTTAAAGTAATAGCTGAAAATCTGATGAGCATATCACAAGCTAGTGAATAATTACATTGCCTCATTTTTCCAGAGCTGGTCTTCGTTAATTCATAATTAATGGAATGAGATAACACAATCTGTACTACTAACTTTTAACAGTCTGTTCGTGTCAACTGAGAAAGCTGAAAACCGACAAATTTTTGTTGTTTGGTGCAATCCAGAGCTCCACTGCTTCCCTCCCACTGCTCAGCTGCATTCCCTCCCCAAAATTCCCTCTGGAAATGACAACAAAGCTCCTCCAACCCCAGTGCAGTCTGAGACTTTCCATTCATTCTGTCCTCTTCCTCCTCCTGCTTAGCAAGAAACTGCTTTATCGCACAGCCCAAGGAATTTGCCAGAGAATGCGATATAGAAACTTGCCTGCTGGCAGACAACCGTTTCCACAACAGTGGCATAGGAAAGGGAAGGAGAAAAGAGAAGTCAGTCTTCCAGTGCTCTTCAATACCTGCCAGGCATTTGCAGAAAAACAGGGCAGCACCCAAGATTCAGGATTTAAACTTCATGAAAAAAATGTCTTTGAAAGACATATTGTCTTTTTTTTTTCCTAAATCCATAACAAGAACAGTATCTACAGAAATTCTGCACAAGCCCTGGGATCATCTATTAACACTTTATAAAGTTGCATGAACTTGGTTAAGCCTTTCTTGAGACAATGGATCACAGAAGGAGCAGCAATTCTAGCAGTATCCCAAGATGATGTCTTTCATTTCACTTTGAAAACCTCCTCCACTAAGCTCTCCTCTTACAGTTTTCCATGGTGATGAGAAAAGTGGTGTGAAGGATCTGGTCCTGCCAGAGCAGCTTTGGTTTTGGCTCTCTTGAGATGGAACACTCATGGCTTGGTGCTGAAGGCACAAAGAGCCAGGTCCTACTTTTTAATGGCAACCCACGCCAAAAATGTTTCTCACAAACCTAAACCACACAACTCTGTCATATGTGTAATAAAGCAACAGGAGGTACAAACAAAGAAGTGCTTTTTCAGGAGAAAGGCAACAACTGTAGAAACAAACAGGATCTCCTTTTGTCTTTTTTATGTTCTCTTTGATTACTTTAGCTTGTGCAATATATATCTCACATCGCATTTCATTTGTTTATGAGTATCTGGGCAGAGCTCCAGTGCTTTGATGCAACTGGTCACAGTGCACAGCCGGGTTCAGTGCAAGCACCAGTGTCAGCACAGCTCGTGGCTACAGCCAGCCCAGCAAGAGCTCCAGGAAGTTTCTTCACCTGAACAGACAAGCATGCCAACAAATGGGGAACACCAGTTCCAAAGAGCTACAGAAAAATACAAGTGTCTTCATGCTACGTACAGCTCTTCTTTTCCAATCAAAGTGAAAAAGAACGCTGAGTGCAGACAGAGCATGAACAAACATTCCTATCCACGTTTACAAATATTTAGTGAAAAGGTTAATTTGAAGACTGAGAGACTTTCTTGACCTGAAACTTCTCATGCTAGTGAAAAAAAGCTTCAAACTGATCCACTGCAGAGAATGTGGCATCAGATTACACCATTATTTTATGCAATGTGCATGAGCCGAGCTGCATGCTTAATTTTGTTTTTGTTAGTGGACTGCGAGTCCAATTTATTTTCACGAATATTTACTGGGAACAGGCATCTCAGGAAGAAACACATTTGAATCCCATACCCTGCTTTGCTATTCACATAGATGTGACTATCGAGTCTTTGATGGTTGAAGAGTGCTACCTGGGCAGTTAAAACGGCCCAGATTAAATATCGGACTGAAAGAAGAAAGCTGTGCATGAGGCTCAGGGCTCCATGGGGACAAGGAAGTCACATTCAGCAGGATCCCAGGCCTCAGATCCTAAAGAACAGGGCTGGTAACTGATGGAAGAGGAAGGACAAGCTTTTTGTGCTTGCCTGAAATGGCATACATCCAGGAATAAACACTAATTTCCTATTGCTAGAGCCTGGGAAGGAGTGAAGTTAAATGTATTTTGAGTCAATGGTCATCATAATTGCTGGCCTGGAAGGGTGAGGGTTGATAGGAAAATAGACATCTACACTTTGTGTAAGAGAAACACGTGTTGAAAGATGTGTTGGGTGGAAAAAAAAAAATAAATCGCACAAGTGCTTGCTTAAAATAGCCCCACAAGCACTGCCTCATCCCCATGTGGGCTCCAAAGGCCCAGGGCTCCACAGCACAAAGCAGCTGGGCAAGAGGCACGACCTTCACCTGCAGCGGCATGGTCACCCTGCAATGGAACCTGCACCACATCAGCACGAGCAGGGTAGCCCATTGACACTCTGAATAGGACAGAAGCAAAAAGCTTGGTCAGTTCAGACACTGGTAAAATATAAAAATACTCTGGTAGCTGCCCCAGTCTGCCCTACTGTGAACTTGTCCTCAGTGCTATGTGTAAGGAGTTTAAAACTTCAATTTCTAGCAAAGTTAGTAACATCACCTGGAGCTTAGAAGCACGCTGCATCCAAGAGGGACATCACCCACTGTTCTCAAAAAGCATAAACCCCCACAGCTTCACAAGCACCTCTTGACAGGGGCTGTGCAGGCAGAAGAGAAGTGGACGCAGCTCACCCCACAGCTCAGGATCAGCACAATTTTATCTAAGCAGGCTCAATGCTTCTGGGTAATGCCTCTCTGCACTTCAGGACAAGGCTGAACTTTTTTTTCCCCTCCCTCTAAATCAATTTAGGCAAGAAATCTGGACACAGATTTACATTAATCTTCCATCTGACTGTATTTTTGAACCATTTGCTTTCAGCCTGATCCTCAAACAAAGCAGGAAAGAAGAGGCTGCAGTTTCGCCACATTCTCCCATTTTTACAATGTGATGCAGAGGCCTGATGTGAGTGAGCAAACCCAAGCCCCCAGGTTACATTCTTCTGCATCTACCACCTTGTCTTTCATGCGAGCCCTGTTCATATTAAAGGGATCAGAGGCCGTCCTCAGGCAGCCCCTCTCTTTGAAGACAAACCCTCAGCTCCATTTAATGGAAAAGCCCTCTCAGTGCAGGCCTTTGCCAAACAGCACAGCAGGTTTAAACAATTATGCAAGACAGTGGATTTGGATTCCAGGCTCTTCTTGCTCAGTCTCCAGCTTTAAAAACAATATTTTTCTTTCTGCGAGGGCACTCCTGAAGTAAATGCTCCAAACAGTGACAATCCAAAAGGCATTATGGAAAAAAAGTCAACAGCTTACACAGTGTACCACACGTCATGAATAGAGAATCTCTTCCAATACTGAAAAATTGGAAAAAAAAATTCTTTTCAGCATGTGTGAATCAAAGAAAGACATTAGTGAATCCTGACAGCTTCAGACAGAAGGGAATCAAAGCTCTTGGGATACATTACACAAATGAGCAATGGCAAAGGAGGGAGAAGGATCCTATGGTTTCTTTTAACACGGAGCGATTAGTGGTGTTTTCTTAAACGGCTGGGAAAGTCTGCAGCCTGGAGCCAGCCACATGTTACTTATCAATGTTTCAGAGCAGGGCAAGTAAGAAAGGCCATGTCTGGTTCCTTTTCCAATAGGGAAAAATCTCTTTTGAAGTCTTTTTGAGGGACTGATGGGGGAGAAAGTGTCAGGAAAAGGATCTGACAGGTTTTGCACAGTCAGGAGCAAGACGATGTCTGGAGTAAAATCTCCTGTCTAAATTGGGCAAGGAGATAGAAACCTCTCCTTCAGCACCAAGATGCCAGATAAAAACGTCTGAGGCTCACTTCTATCTCTTTTCCAGTTGCACACAAATTCCTTCCCTAATGTTCTTCCAGCTCTTTCTTGCAGGGAGTAAATACTGTGCCTGCAGCCTGAGCAGACAGACGGATGTATGCTGGCACGGGGAGCACCCTAGGCACTGTAGAAGACATAGCTTTAATGGGGGAAGAGGGCATCTAAACCAAAGCTGAACGGCTAAGGAATCGCTCTGCTCCTTGAAAAGAAAGGCACCGCTGATGGACACACCACTGCTAACTCCATCACTTCACTCTGGGACAAAATTCCTCTCCTGTATTGCCAGTTCTGTACAAGCCACTAAGTGGAGAAACACTGCAACACCTGCCATGTCAGTGTAATTACCCTCTGCCAGGCAGGAGCCAGACAACCTGCATTTTAGCAGTGCTGAAGGCTGCTCTGCCCTTCTTTCACCTTCCCACCCTCTGCAGACACCATTCAAAAGGAAAACACCTATTATTTTTTTCCTCTTCACAAAACCAAAAGAAATCCTTGGTGTAAACAACCTCTAAGCGTTGTGTTAAAAGTCTGGGAGACTACTTCTGTATGGACCTTACTCTTGCCTGTATCAGACTGTGGCATTTGCAAGGTGTGTAGAAGAATTTACGTTCCAACTCAATATGCAGTCAATGGGCATAGATAACTTTGCTGTACTCTACCCCTCCTATTAAAGCATATGATTTTATTTAGGGAGATGGAGTTCAATGACTAACATCTGCTACAGCTCTGCCTGTCCCTCCTACATTCCACTCTCCTCTCAAACAAACAAACAAACAAAAAAAACAACCCACAAAAAAGCAACAGAGTGGCAAACAAAAGAGATAAACCTTCTCCAATTCATCAAAATAAATAAAAATTTAAAAAGTTCAACCTGCAAGCAATGCTTTGGCTTACCTGGGCTAGTGCTTATCCCAGCTGTGAGCACTCAGCCATACAGGTGGGCAGCACCAGCACACGCTCCTGTACTTATCCCACAGCTAATGCACTATTTCTTCCCCACAGAAGTATTTTACACAACCTTAGTGACATCAAAACGTGCAAATAAAAAAAAACACAACTACTTTAGTAAGACTGCCTTAAAGTGGCAGTCTGCTAGCTCAGCCAACTCCCAGACCCCCAGTTAAAATCATTACACCAAAAGATCAGTGAGACCACAGCCAAGAATTCAGGTAATAAAGTGCTTTAGGTACCTTGATTTTTTCCACAGCTCTCCTTGCTCTATTAATGTAGTTGACCTGTAAAGCAGAAGAAAGAGATTACTGACTTCTGGAAGGCTTTTCAGTATTACTGGAATATACTATACACTTAAAACATAAAGCAGAATTCACACAACATTAGGTTTCTTGAACCCTTTTTGGACTATTTCACTGAATTAGTTTGATACTATACAGTGCATTCTTCATATTAAAAAAAACACAGCACAGGGAAGCCTCAAGGAGCTCCTGGGTAGGAATCCAGCCACTCTGCTCTGCTTTGCACACACCAGGTTGCAAACAGAAACAAAATCCAGCTACCTGCTGAATGCTTGCAATAGGGCATAGCCACTGCAGCCCTTCTCCTCGCCTCTCAGAAGTTGAACAGCAGAGGAGCACAGCTCCCACTGCACTGCAGAGCTAACTCTGACCAGGGCAGGAGTGAAAAAAAAGGGGAACACAATACCTCTCTTTGAAGGCTGACAACTACGTAGCCGCTGGTATGACAAGTTCATAAGGCAACAACTGCCTTTCACTGACCCCTTCCCACCACTGAGCAGCTATGGGTTCTCCTCTCGCCTTCATCTTTTCACATGAAAGTAAAAGGCGTAAATAAAATAGCAATTGTTCGCTTCTATCATCTTTTGTCTTCTGTCTCTGAGCACAAATTATCTTCAGTTAAATCCAAGAAAATCCATTTCCACCACCTTCCCTTTTCCCTCATCCACTCCTCTGAGGAAAAGAAATTATTTCCTGGTGGACAGAGGCCAGACTCCCAGGTGCATCCATGCATTAAAAATAAATAAACAATGACTGTATCACGTGTTTTTTCTTTGTTTGTTTGTTTTTTAAGACCTATACATTGCAAAGTAGACATTTTATACATGGTGAAAACACTGAGATCCATCTATCCATCAGGGACTCGTGCTGCTTCTTTCCAAACTGTGACCATTTGTATTCACTGAGTTTTAACGCTACCTCAACCACCATCAGCTCTCTGTTGTTACTCTTGCATGACTTCAGTACACTACCCTCAATCATTACTGCTTTGGTCTTGTCAGCATATACAAATAATTCAAGAGGTTCGATATTTTAGCACCTTGGCTATCCCATTCTTCATCACTAAGTCGGAGTTTCAACTGCAAAGAACTGACTTCCAAAAAAAAATATAAAAAATCAACATGCACAAAAAGTAAATAGAATTACACAAAACTAATGTGTGACAATTGTCATAAGACACTCCAAAATAAAAAAGTTCTCCACAAGAGTCAAAATGAAATACTATTGCATGTGTGCTCAGTCTGCTTTCCCCTGAGTTATTGTGTTAAAGTCCTTGCAATTGAATATTGCAATAAATACAGCACTGTTTTCAACAAGTGTGTACTTCAGTGTGAAGGATATTTTATATTCAGCATCACCAGTACAGGTGCACAGCCACAGCACGATTCCCCTCCCTTCAGACACAACAGGAACACAGCCTGGGGCCAGGAGCTCCCTGCAGGGCTGGGGCACATTTGCACACTGGCAAAGCTGACAGAGCAGTGGTGCTGGCTGGGGAGGCAGTGGGATGGCCATTGGCAGCAACACGCAGTGTTGAGCTGGAGTGCTCTGCAGCATCAGGAATTTAAACACTGTAAACGTGACTGTTTATTCTCAGTGTGAGTACAGTTTATTTTTCACCTACTTCACACTGCCTGCGATAAGGGAGTGCTATTTCTATGCCAGTCCTTGATCAGTTATTTTAAGCATAGCCAAGACCTGGTTCTGCAGGCTGGCTGTTAATGTTTCTAGAGGGCTGTGGGTAACCACTTTTCAATATACAAATTTAATGTTCTCCCCAGTGCTGTCAAGCCCAGGGCCCAACAACAAAAAACCCACCCAACAATGATGGAATTACCTTGACATTTGGTGCCATGTCCTAATTCAGATTAACTGGCATGAGCACACAACCTTTGGTTTCATTGAGCTTAGCACTGCACATAGCCTTCATTCACTATGGTAATATTAATTAAATGCCTCTACAGCCTAAATTAAATCATATATCTAATAATGAAGGATAAAGATGTTATCAAGAATGGGAAAAAGATATGAAAAGGACTAATAGTCACATAGTAAATATTCAGCTCAAAGCCAGCTCTCAGTTCAGGGAAAATAACAGAAAGAAATTCTTGGATGAATAAACTAGGAAGAGAAATTGACTTTAACTCAAGATGTGGCAGTAGTAAGACAAATACTGAACATGAACAGCTCTGAAAAATTGGAATACATATGAATTAAGCATATGTCAGAAATTAGGCATATTATACAAATCCTGACAGAATATACAGAAAGGGCAAAAATTAAGTGTTAGAAGCCTTCAGCCTACAGGACAAAAGGATTTGTGTGTCAGAGATACCATTTCACTTCTTGAGAGTTTAGTGAAAGCCACTTGGTTATTTGAGAGTTTTCCCAGTCACTCAGAAGTATTGTTTTAGAGCTGCATCCAGAAACCATGAGTAATCATTATGATGGATAGTAAAGGAACTGATGGGATATCCCAAAGAACCACCCTTTGGAACAAAAATATAATCTTCAGCTGCACATATTATAATGGTTGATCAGCATACGCTAAGAAAATACACTTCTGGTTTGAATCCAAACCTTGAGTATAAAAAGCAAAGCCCTGGTAAATATTTAAGGGAATTCTGAGTTCTGGACTAGAGAGTGGGCAATTTTTTTATTTTTTATTTTTATTTTGTTGCTGTTGTTGTTAAATCACAACCTAAACCATCGTAAGATTGTGCAATTCTAGAAGAGCCCTTAAAGAAACAATTGGGAATTTTTCATAACATGGTATTTCCTTATACCACTGACCACAGGAATGCAAACAGTTCCACCAAACAGAGATTTTTTCATTGGAAACAAGTGACAATCTAAATGTGTTTCCATCTTTTCCACTCTGAGCTCTCAGCATACAAAACAGATTATATGATAGGATACAGAAATGTAATACAAGCACCATCAGGGCCACGAGATTTCTTTACTAAAACTCAGCACCTGAGAGGCTTTATAACAGTATACTTCTAAAGGGTTAGAGAGAATTATTGACCACGTTTGTCTAATCAATTGTTATTCTTATTGCAATTTCTACTCCTTTGTCAGATTTTCCCAAAACACTGTTAGCACCTCTATCAGCCAGAAACACCAACCTTCAACCAAAACTCAGTAAAATCAGTAAAAAGACTAAATCACGCAGCTTTCCCTGGCAATGCTAGTAAGGAGCACTGCCATGAAAACACAGGTTGTTTTTCACCTTGAGAAGTGGAGGAAAAAAGCACTACTACAGATCATACACCCCTTGCACCCCACAGAACGTCATCCCCTATTAGTCTAATTAATAGATTTCCTCTCCAGCTTCTCCGTTTGCAGTTATTTTGGCAATGACTATCAACACTAGAAATTGTCCCTGAAGGAAGCCCCAATAGAAAGCACATAGGAATGGGCAATGGCCCTTCTAGTATTGGAAACCTTCTGGCATTTGGATGCTGGCACGATGACAATAAGCACCAGAGATACCTAAGGGAAAGGCAAGACAGGCCTCATGACAGCTAATTAACAGTCACTCTATCATGGAAAATGCAATTTACACTCTGTGCTGAGCTTCGTGCAGGCAAGAGAGAAAACAGAGAAGAAATAAACATAATGAATGGTAAAACCGTACAGCATCATCAGGACTCAGAAAGGTAGCAGGAATGCAAGGAGGTACGTGTCATCAGCACACTGACAAATTCCTGTCATCACAAATTTGCAACTCAACTAATGCAAGATTTTAATCAGGGCTATAACTGAACTTAATTCTTTCCACTGCAGCTGAAGGAAAGCGAGTGGAACAAGTCGTAAAAACAGAACAAAACCAAAGCGTGCTTCAAAGAGACAGCGTTAATATCAGAAGGAAAATATACCCCACAAAACAAAACAAACAAAACCCATGAAAGACAGAAAACTTTACATATTTAGTGTGTCAGACAAAGTCAAGAACTTTGGATGGTAAGAAGACAGACAACTGTCTTAACTACAGAGATGTTAGAAGAATTTCCTTGTGTGGGAGGCTGTTGACAATCTATGGCAGAGGGATTATTACACCGGTAGTCAAGGAAACCACTCTTAGAATTAGAAGTTCGGAAATTTTGGAATGCTCCATTTTGGAGTGAACAGAACACGGAAAAAATTGCTCCATGATCCTCAGAAAAGAGGCTGGGATATGGTTCTGGCCTCCCACACAGCCTACAGGGCCAGGGAAGACATCTCCATGTTACAACACCAAATGTGGCCTTCTGCAGGAGTTACAGCTGAGAAAAAGGAATGCTTCTTTTCAGTTATGGAACCACCTTTGGTCTTTAAGAGAGGTACAAAAACAGTAAATCCAGTCCTCTACTGAGATCGTAAGAGGTGAATGTACTGTACTCATGGCCAGTGGGCTGCTCCCTCAGCTTCTGCCAGGCATGTCATTGCTCACACAATCCACAGATACTCTATAGGAATGAACATCAAAGATATTACCAAGACTCACTCACTGGCCACCTGAAGTACTAAGTGTGTACTACCCTAAGTTATCAAAAAGGCCCCTGCTCTTGGATAATTCATCTTTTCTAAAGTTACAAACACATGAGACCTCCCCTCCTTTTTAGATGTTGCCGAAGATCAAAACATAAATATAAAGAAGCAGCTTGGTATAATGACAAAAAGTATTTTTCCAGTTATTGCCTTAACTAGATAGCAAACTAAAACAAGATGATACACCGAAGTCTGTGCTGAGATTTAAAAGAAGACTCAAAAGCCATTTTTCAGTTTTATTACTGTCAGTATCCTAGAAGAAAACAAGCACTAAAAGCTTTTCAATTTAATCTTACTGAGGATGCTATACAGAAAACTACCCAGTGCTTAGACTACCCAAACTATGCAAGTTTGTGAGGCAGGGCTGTATTTAGGATACAAGGCATATTTCCACAGTTGGATCAGAGCATTATCAATCTATGCCAGAAACGATTTGCTGGTTTTGATTA